CTTTGGCACGGGCGTCGACGCGGAACTCGGAGAAGATGCGCTTGGCATATACGAGGTAGTCTTTGGCGAGATCTGGTGCGTTCTTGGTGACTTGATGCAGGAACTTGTGCATCGACGGCGCATGCTTTCTGAGTAGCTGTACAAAGTCTTCTACGGTGGGGGCGTCGCTGGGTTCCTGGTCAAGTATACTGGCAGGGTCCGGTGAGGGAGCGCGTGACTTTGAATTCTCCCGACTCTTGCTGCCCTTCTTCCTCGGCTTGGCAGTTTTGATCAGATCTGTGATGAAGGCTTCTGCGTCCGTGACAGTTCCCGATAGATCAACCGCATTGTGTATCGCCCGGATGACGGGATCCATGCCTGCGACTGCATCTCGAACCGTGGAAGTCAAGACATCGGGATTGGATTTGCAAAGGACCTTTGTAAGTTCTTCCCGGTCACGGATTGAGAGGTATGTGCTGAGATATTCCATGGCTACATTATGTTGGTGTTCGTTGAGAGTCTCTGCATCAATTTTGAAGGGCGGATCGGACGTCTCTAGAACGACGGCTACGATGGATTTGGATTCAGACATGGATTGGCTCCTGGCCGCCTCGTGCCTGTCTCTTGAAGCGTAAACGAAAGTCTTGAGAGCCTTGAAGACCTTCTTATCCGGTGCATCGCGCGAAGACTCGAGCTTTGATGCGCGCTTCTGGAACTCGGATGTATCCCATGCCAATACCGTAGATATGATCTGTTGTAAAAGGTTCATGCCGTCGTTGGTATTGTTGGTGAGACCTATCCAGTTGGTCATGGCCGTTACAGATAGCTTTGCGAGTACCAGTCTGACCATGCCGTTGATCATGGTAGCTGCGTTCCCGACGCGCAACGTCTGCTTGACGACAGTATATGGGATGAGGCGATGCAGGTTCTCGATGAGTCGAACGAGGTACTGGCCGTCGGGTGACATGATGAAGATGTGGTGGAGGAAGGATGCAGCACTGCGCTTGTTAGCAATGCCTACACAGACGTGGAAATACCTACTTCAACAACATATATTCATGAGCTGCTTGGAGGCAACTCGTATGGTCTTCCAGCCTCGGTGTGGCCTTGACCTTTTCATACAAATCATCCAGAGCATCGCCGTATATCGCGTCACGCACCAAATCTTCAAAACCGCGTATAACGTCTTCTGGGTTGTTCGTATCGTACTCGTTTTTGCCTTGGGTCTGCTGCTTGGCCGCATAGCCGCCTAGCATGCCTCTAGCAACATATTCGGCAATGCTGCTCGCGGCTGTCGCAAGCGCCTTCCGACTGCCAATTGCGCCCTTGTCATAACTCTCACTCAGTTCCGCCTCTGCCATTCTCTGAACCAGCGTCTGGATCTTGTCGGCCCACCAGCTTTCGCCAAAGTTCCGTATGGCAGGATTACACAGCGCGAACTTGTTGAGCATGTTCTGCAACAACGGGCTTGTCGATTGCACGCCATCAGCTTTCCGGAACGGGTAGCCATACTGGTCGATGGTAGAGGGGTATTTGAAGGCTTCGATTTCAGAGTAGACCTGGTGGTGGATCAGGATGTCGAACAGGGCGTGCGTTTGCGCGGGCGTGAGAGGTTTCGTCGTTGACATGGCTGTGTGGGATGAAGCATGCCAGAACCAAAAACTCGTAACAACTCCATAGTTGGCGAGGAGGATGGTGGTAGACGCGGATGCGACGACGCGGGGTACGTCATCACGCCTGCAGTCTTGGCGCATTAGCGACTGCTTCTACATCTCTTTTAGTCCTGGCGCCGTTGGACTGCGCCACTACCTACAGGGTGGCATGTCAGTCTGACGCTTGGAACTATTGACAATACCTGCTTCGAGCTGCATCACTTGGACCTTTACGAGGGACTTTATCACTTTGCATGGAGATGACAAATTGCAGATTCAAACGTCTCTATGGATTGAAATGAAATACCACCAAAACGACCCATATTCGGCTCCCAAGCATGCGTTGCTTGCTTCAACTACCACATCTCCCTCTCCATCCACCACCCCTGTGTCTCTCAGTCGAGATAGTAAATGCTGTCGTATATATTTACTTCTGTGGGTTCCTTAATGGCGACGTTTCGTACTCGGTGAAGACAGAACTCCAGACAAAGTATGCCGCCGCACTATTTACTTAGTCAGCCATGTCCCACTTACGTACCGTAAAGAGCTTCTTACAATTAGAAAGATTCCTGCGCATAGCAAGCCTTGTGTACCATCCAGAGAAAACATTTTGGATATGCCGAAAAAGAAGAAGAGGCCACCAATCATGACAATCATGCAGTTGCGTATCCTGCCGTCTTGGTCATTGTCTCGACTCTCGTAAACGGCAATCTTGTCCTCGAGTTCGATGATGCGGGCCGTTTGTCGATCCATACGGTCGCATGGGTGAAGAAGTGGTATGTAAGACATTTTGACTGGTAGCGTTGTAGAGTGGTGGAAATGGTTTCTCGATGCGTTCGTAAGGTGTGATGAGTTTGTGAAGGATGTTGGTGAGATATTTGCTGCTGTTGAAAGGAAACATCGTCGGGGTTTTATATAATTGTGAAAAGGTAGTTCCACTTAAGAGTGGGCACATTGTGGTATGAACCATGGTTCGTTCTCTATTTAATGACTAGATTTTTCGCCTACCAATTTGAGAGCGGAATATGGTACTGATATGCCAACCATGGGACGGTCGATCGCGAGAGGAATCGCATCATGGCCTAGCTAGGCGAAATATTTGCGACGTACTCTTACATTAATGCAAGCACGTATTTAGCATGAAGCTTGTCTAGGCTAAAAGAATATTGTGCGGAATATCGAATTGTCTGAAAGATAACTAAGAATGCAAAAGCGATGCTCTTACAGGGTGTCTTCTAGCATCTGCATCCTTATTATCGCACGTGATGGCGTGACACCGCATTGACGCGTCAAGTGGTCAAGGTAGGGGCGGAAGTGTCGCCATGTTCCGACAGCCATCAACAGCTTAATCTGCGCGGTTCCGAGGAAAGAGGTACGCATATCCAGAGGCCTCGAAAGAGATAAGAAGACGGGTACATTACATAGAAATACAGAGGGAGTTGCAGGTGCATCGCCGATCTGTCAAGCCACACGGTCCAAGCTCCTGTGATGCGGGGATGCTGTACAACGAGGCGCTCCTGCATTGCTATCTTGGTATATCATGTAAACACCCCACTCAACACCATGTTGATACACTTTTTGACCCCGTTATTCGCTGCTTTCGCCAGCGCAAAGTGCTTCGAGCCCAATGTCGCGCATCCTCCACCTACATACGATGCCTACGATCCTCTCCTCCAAGAGGCGTTCGAGTCGATGGACACAGCGCTTACAGTAGCCATCGCAGCACCAGAGTATGCCCCAACTTCTTTCTCTGTAGAAATTACCTCTTCGAAAGAAATTCTGTGGTCGCTGCACCATACAGCCCGCAAGCGCAATGCTTCGAGGCCCGATATTCCGCTGGTCAATGGTGATGCACTCTACCGTATCGCTAGCATAACGAAGACGTTTACTGTTCTCGGCATGTTGTATCAACACGAGGCTGGTAATTTGAGCTTAGACGATACGGTCAATACGTATCTGAAAGAGTTGGGAGATAAGTCAAATGGCGGTATACCGTGGAAAGATATCACACTGCGTAGCCTGACTAGTCAACTGAGCGGCATCCCACGCGAGTGTAAGCTGCCCTATGATGATGATCAGAATATCTTCCAAGCATGTCAAACGGACCAAGGTACGCAAGCTGATTTATTTCCTAGGGGCGCAGAGCGACATCATCAATGATGATTTCGATCCCACCGAGGTGGGTCTGCCGCCTGATGTATCCAGAGAAGGCCTGCCAGCATGCGATGAGTACTCGCCGAATTACGAAACGCCTTGTACAGCCAAAGGTGCGCTCTTCAATGCCAAAAAAGGCTTTTTACTGACAAAGCTCTACGTAGATTTATTCAGAAGACTCAAGCAATTTCGCCCACTATTCGCACCTAACCAAGCGTCCACCTACTCCAACATCGCCTATGAAATCCTCGGCCTCGTCATATCGCGTGTGAGGAACCAAACCTATGAATCCTACATTGACGAAGCCATCTTCAAACCCCTGAACATGTCCACCAGCACCTTCTCACTACCACCCGACTCCGTCGGCGTCATTCCATCCGGCGACCAATTCTGGGATGTCGATGAAGGCGTTCAAAACCCCACGGGTGGAATCTATAGCTCCTCGCAGGACCTGTCCAAGTATCTTCGCTATGTTTTGACGCATTTCAACGCTCTTACGCCTGCTGTAAATTGGATACATCCCGTCTCACCTTCTCGGGGGTTGAACTCGTTTTACGGTATGCCGTGGGAGATCTTCCAAACGGATCGTATACTTAAAGACTCGAAACGCACGGTACGCTTTATTACTAAAGGCGGCGGACTGCCAGGTTACACATCTGTTATCATGACAGTGCCAGAATACGACTTGGGCATCACTATTCTTGTTGCTGGTCCCAGTGGAATCTTTTCCACGATTCGGGACGTCGTTACCGTTACCATGGTACAGGCTGCTGAGAAACTTGCCATCCGCCAGCTGAACGAGCGTTACGCTGGGACATATCGCGCTAGAGATTCTAAGCTCAATTCTACAGTTACGCTCAAAGCGGACAGTCGCGGTTTAGTAATCGCAAGCTGGGTATCGAATGGAACAGATATGTACGAGGCTCCTCTTGTCAAAGCCACGATGCCGCCACATTTCTTTTTTCATATGAGTCCCACTCTTCAGTACCGCAACGAGGAGAAATCGGAAGGAGAGGAGTGGCGCGCTATGATTGTTGAGGAGCGCGATGTGGGTGTGGGAGCTGTTTGGGATGACTTTTGCATGGAGAATTACGAAACGACGAGTTATGCGGGTATACCGTTCAATGAAGCGGTCTTCTGGAATGAACGGGAAGATGGATCGTTCGGGGCGTTGGAGTTGTCTGCTTTCAGAGTCAACTTGACGAGAGTGGAAGATGATCGAGACGAGCTAGAGTACGACGAACAGGATATGATGGAGCTCTGAAGAATACTATCATGTCTCTTAAAACTACCACAAAAGGCAAACAACAATATTACACATCTAATAAGCAAACCTCCACCCCTTCTCCACCCCGCACCCCTCCTCCCACCCCTCCGCCTCATCCAACTCCCTATTCAACCCCTTCGCCCTCGCCCTAACCAACAACGCCGACGCAACACACGCCACACACCCAAAAAGAATCAACCCGCCCCCCAGCCGATAAAACGGCTCCTGGCTCGTCGGGAAGAAATACGGACTAAACCAATGACTCGTCTGACTAATACAATTCGCTATCGCAATCAGCGCCGCCTTTTTACTGCGCGGCGCGGGAACAAGCGTCGTCTCCCAGCTCAACTGCAGGTTTAGACCGGAGTAAGTCCCGCTGATGAGCAAGATGAGCCCGAAGTAGCGGGCGCCGATGTTCAAGGTGCCGATTAACATGCTGCAACCCGCGGCGCTCATGATGATGGGGCCGATGATGTGGAAGGTTGATTCTTGCGTTCGGCCCGAGGTGTAGGCTAGGGCGCAGGCGACGGCGTAGGCGATGGCGTAGGGGGGCGCTTGGATGAGGTACGTTGTCAGTTTTGAGAAGTTGAAAGTTTTCATAATCTACAAATCGTCTCGTTAGTGATATATGACAAAAGGGGTTGTTTGGTGTGCGAAACGTACCGATGGTAAAAAGTCCTTGAAACTCTGTGCTGTGACGAGGGCAAAGTGCATGAGACAAAAGTACCAGGTGAACGGGTCTTTGGCTGCTTGTTTCAGTCCGTCCCATGTTCCGCCTACTTCTTCGTAGTGGCCGCCGTTGGAGACTTGGACCCGGTACTGGGCCATTTCGGATTCTTCAGGTGATAGCCACCGCGTGTTGTGTGGCCAGGAAGGGAGTATGAAATATGCTGATGCGGCTACGAGGATGGATACTGCCCCCTCTATAATGAAGAACCATTGCCAGGATTTCAGCGACAGGATGCCACCCATGTTCTCTAAGATAGCTGCGGCAAGGAAGCCGGAGAGGATGTTGGACATGGTATTACCGGCGTGCCAGATGGCCATTCGCATTGGGTTCTCTTCTTTGGTGTACCAGGAGGATGTCACTGGTTTGTGTTAGTCTATGCGGCTGTGTGTTATGGTGGCGTCTGGGTGACATGAGATACTTGACAGAGTGTGTAAGCACCTGATAGGCGTGTCTGGCGACTACAGTGGCTTTTGTACACTGGTATGCCAAGTATCTCATGTTACCCGGGAGGTTGGCAAGGAAAATACTTACTAAGCGTGATACCAGGGAAGAACGGGGCTTCGGACAGACCGATGAAGAAACGACATACGGCAAATCCCGCACCGTTCGTCATAGCTGGCATGCATATGGTGCCGATACTCCACGCCATCATCATAGACGGAAGAAGCCATCGAGGGTCGGCTTTGGCAAGCCATAGGTTACCAGGGACTTGACCAACGAGGTATCCGACGTAGAAGGTTGATATGCCGGCGTTCCAGAGTGTGTCGGTCATTTTCAGGTCTTCTTGGAGTCCAGCGAGGCGCGCGTTGGATACGTTGATACGGTCGAGATAGCTGGGGGTGGTGAGTAAGTCTTGTCGATATGTTTTCAGAAAGGACTGGAGTCTTACTTCATGAGAAACATGAGTGTGATGCAGGGCATCAATCTCCAGTCAAGCTTCTTGACGAGTTTCTTGTTCAGAGCAGCCATTTGGTCTGCGTCGAGATCACGGAGAGTGTCGAAGCGTGCTTGAATTTGGAGAGCCGTGATCTGACCATTGTTCTCGGGGAGAACCTCCTTGAACTCGGCATTGGCCATCTTGTCGTCAATAGATTCGACATGTTTTTCAGCCATGTTGTCCGCTTGGAGGTATCGATGGCTTCAAGAGCAGTGTATGAGATGAACTGATGTGGAACAGTGTGTTGCTCCCATCGTGATGTCGCGTGCCATTATATATAGACATCTTGACTACACGGCAGCTCGGCATTTACGTCGATAACCTAACCAGCTCATGTTCTTCTCCTCCGGACGACATCGTTCCCATCCAGTACCAGAGCTGGGGAAACGCCGAGAATGCGGGGGCCCCAGAAACTAACGGTTTGGACAGCGGGGACTTGACGCCACGTGCGGCGTCTATTCGGTAGTTTGGCGATTTCCAAGAGTCGTTGGCTTGGAGGATTCTTGGGATTAAGCGAGCGGGCGTGTTCGTCACGAGGATCCCGCCATCCTGGTGTTCACTTCCCGCGGGATGGTTAGAATGTTGCCGTTCCGCGGCTAAAGGAGTTTGTTATCCTGCAGCGCGAGATGGATGCATGATGCCGCGGGAACAGTCGTAGGGCTATCGGTGTTTGTGGAGGAAGTCTGCAAAGGACGGAGAAAGGCTGCAGGAGGGGAAAGCTCGCAGCAACGATGAATCGTTGTGGGCAGGTGCGGCCCGGCAACGTTTTGCAGGTGCCAATAGACCCACACGACGGAAGATCACTGGATTTTGGACAGGTTGATTAACAAGTAAAATTGTGTGTATTATTACAACTCCTCTAGTTACAATATAGGATTTCTTTGTGTCGTCAATGCGAATTAGTTTGAGAGACGCTGCACGTGAACGCCAAACACGAAGCATGTAATGGAATTGATCATTATTTGTACTGGAACCCCAAATTATGAAGATGGGGTTAATAAGTCGGAAACCTTCTCATACACGGTAAACACAATGCCTCCGCTCAAGACTAGCCTGCCCAACCGCATTGTACTGCCACTCCAAAACCCACGTACCCCTGCGTTCCTCATCACACTTCGAAATGCCTCCATTGTACTGGCTCCTTGTGCACTTTGAGCGCGCGTCTTGATAGTGTCAAACGGTTGTGTGGCATAAACAGTAATGATACCAGCAATGGCACCCATACCAAACGTAACGCCACTGTTCTGTGGTAGATTCTTCCGTCGCGCGAATTCCTTCAGCACGTTATATGAGCCCATGCGAACAGCTGATGTGGCTGATTGCTTTGCGGTTGTAGAAATCAGACCTCGGTATAGTCCAGCGATGCCATGCGTCTGGAGAATAACTCTGGAGGCATGGAAGCCTCCGCGAAAACGCTCTCCACCACTCTTTGCGTTGTCGATCAGGGCAGTCTTGACACGCTCTGTTGGTGTGACCGCGACGACACTTTCGACTGCGCCTGCCAACATGCCGGCCAGCAAGCCTCGTGCGGGAGAGAGAACACCGCGCTCATCGGCAAGGCGTTTGCGGATAGAGTCAAAAGAGAGAAACCGAACACCGGCTTTGAAAGCAGTTCCCACAATCAAAGTAGAGCAGCCTGTGTATATTGCACCAACCCCTTCGCTTTTAGCGACTTGGGAAAGCACCGTGAACGGGTTTCTTGAACCGGAAGCGCCCACTTGGAGTTGGGCGCGGGTTTTGGCGAATTCGAATGGATAAGTCGTTGTCGCCTCAACACCACCAGCGATGGCACCCGATAAGAGGGAAACGACAGGATGTGGGCTGCGCTTTTTGGGAGTTGTCTTTGGTGTCTGTTGCAGAGAAATGGATGATTGTCTGGTGTCGACGGGAACGGGAACCAATGACGCGCTCATGGTGGATAGTGTGCTTTGGGGAAGATGGTGACCAGATCCGCCATAGTATCAAGCTGTCGGGACTGTATATACCTTGAATGCATTGGTCCTCAACTGATCAAGGGAAGTACCCGGCCGACAATAAGACTGCGATAGAGTTCGGGAAGCGTTCTCGGGTTACCGCCACCCGGGTATCATAAAACACTTGACATACTAGTGTAGAAAGGCCACTGTAGTTGCCGAAAACGTCTATTAGCATTGTAGGGAAGCACCTAATAGGCGGGTTTGGCGACTACAATCCATGAATGGTCTTCTTACACTAGTTTGTCAAGTATTTTGACACCTACGTGCCGTGTTCAAGCGGGAGCATTGCCGCGGGATGTCGGCGTTTTGCCGTCACGCGTCATTTCGTTCCCGCTTCCGGGCAGACTCTTCTCTCGTTCCCGTCTGAGCGGTACCCGTCATTCATCATCGCGCTGGCTTTTCCTCAACGCAATGAGTGCGAACGACAATCCCGCGGGAGGCCATGTAGTGACTGGGACTGGTCGTACCCGCAAAAGGGCTGCCGAGGCCTGTGCTTTCTGCCGTCGGAGGAAGGTTGGTCACAGCAAGCCTGATCAACGGAGAAGATATTGATCGAACCTCGCAGATCAAATGTAGTGCGGAGAAGCCACAATGTGCGAACTGCAAGACGCACGGTGCAACGTGCCACTATGAGCCTATAGATGATGGCCATCAGACAGTCGCTCGTCCGCGCAAGACACCGCGACGAGAAAAAACTGTAGAGCCAGCAACTTCTATCGTTGACTCGATTCCTTCCGTCCAGTCCGCTGCTCCTACTCCCAATAGTGTGTCGCGCATCGTCGTTGCGGCGAATGGCTCGTCAAGCTATCATGGCCGTACAAGCGCCTTGTTTGACGAAGGCTCCCACGACCGATCTGCTGCTGAAGCGCATCCTCGAATGCCCGACGAGTGGATAGAAAGGGGTCTCGTTGCTGAAGCAGCGCGCCAGCGACAGCTAGAAACTGTCAATTTTCGCCATGGAAAACTCGACTTTGACGGTGTTGAGCCCGAATTAGGCATGCATCTACTTTCATTGCATTGGAACCGCCAGCATCACTCGTTTCTGGCTACCTACCGTCCGGCGTTTATGCGTGACATGGCTTGCAATGGACCCTACTTCTCCAAGTTGCTTCTGAATGCGATCTACTTTGGCGCGGCAAAATTCAGTCCACGCCACGAAATCCGGCGAGTAGCAGACGATGTGCGTACTGCTGGCTGGCAATTTCGCGAAAGAGTACGTGAGCTTCTGGGAGGCTCTTTGGATAAGAGCGAGATTACGACGATTCAAGCATTGCTGGTCATGACCAATTCACTTTTCGCCCTTGGGGATGAAAGAAGTGCTGCATGGCTGTACGCAGGGCTGGCATTCCGTATGATTGTGGATCTCGGTATACATGTAGATACAGTGGATCTTGCAGGTACTCGCAAACTATCAGACGAGGACTATGAGATCCGAAGACGTGTCTTTTGGGCTGCATTCGGTGAATACCTCTCATCATACCACGCTAACTCGACTAACGAGAACTCCAGTCATTGACAAGATTCAGAGTCTATACCAGGGTCGACCAGTTAGCATCAAGGAATCAGACACGCTTGTACCCATCAAATTTCAGGACACTTATGAGGAGCTGGAGCATTGGACTCCTTTCGCGTACTCCACGCAATCAGATGCCGCTTATTTGGGCTCCCCCGCATATAGCGTCTCCACATTCCGGCATCTCTGTCAACTGTCTGTCATCCTGAGCGACATACTCAGCACCATATATACCGAAAGAAGCTTCGATTCAACACCTGGAGAGCTATCGTCGAAGCTAGAAAGTATTCACCTAAAACTGACCACATGGAGGAGCCGACTACCTGAACATCTTGCTGTTGATGTAAAAAAGGCGCCTGTAACCCCACCTCCACATGTGCTGAGTTTGCAGTAAGCTTCGCAAGATCTAGGGGATGAATGATGCACTAACAAAATTGCAGTGCTCTGTATAATGTTTTGACAATCCTTCTGCATCGCCCTTTCGTGGCCGATGGTCATCTCTACAACACGTCACGTTCAATCTCTGTAAACTCATTCATGGCGTGCGCAACTGCCGCTGATGATATTGTACAACTGTTAAGAGCATACGACAGAGCATTTAGTGTGCGAAGAGCTCCGTACCTCATCTCCTATGCGACATATGTTGCTGCAACTATCCATGCTCGCATTGCTGCGAGGCGCGAGCCCGGCTCTCATGCCCACAACAACCTATACGCTTGTTTAGCTGTTTTCCGTGAAAACCAGGAGACAAATTGGGCCGTGCGGCGTGCGACCGCTATCGTGCAGAACCTGATGAAGAGGCTAGGGGTTACTTCACCTAATCCCGACGATACTCATATCGATAGAGACAGTAGTGACGAGAATACACCAGGAACATCATCACGCAGATCGACGGATCGTGAGCCAAGCTTGCATAGCCTCGACATCGACGGTATCATCCAGAGCTTCGTTCGTGAGCGAGAACAGGAAACCTCTCAAGCGGTACACACAGCGCCAGCAGGCCCGACTGGTCATGGCAACTCTTCCGAAGCCGCGGGATCTATACCATCACAATGGTCTTACGCTCATTCGGAAATGCCCGGCGTTGCTTCGGTTTCTGGACAGCAAGACGCTAGCAACATCTCCTACGACACTAATGGGACTTGGGTATACCAAGGGCCAAACCGCAGCTATTCAACGAAAACCCGGTGACTGTGGACGATCTCCTTTTACGGGTTCAACGGCTCGGAGCTAGACAAATTCCCGATACTAGACTGGGATGCCATGTAAAGGACGCTAAACCTGCGGCAAAGATTCGCCTCATGTGCCAAGTCTTGGGAGCCGCGGCTAAGCCTCGGGCGGAGTCTCCACCAAAAGATCCCGCGGGAGCGCATGCGGGAATGCCGTTTGAAGTTTCCGCGAGTTGAAAAAGAGAAAGCTATATAGAGATGGCTATA